TGTGAAAAACTAAATATACATAATCAACAATGTGAAAACTAAATATACATAATCAACAATGTGAAAACTAAATATACATAATCAACAATGTGAAAACTAAACATGCATAATCAACAATGTGAAAAACTAAATATACATAATCAACAATGTGAAAAATTAAATATACATAATCAACAATGTGAAAACTAAATATACATAATCAACAGTGTGAAAACTAAATATACATAATCAACAATGTGAAAAACTAAATACGCATAATCAACAATGTGAAAAACTAAATATACATAATCAACAATGTGAAAAACTAAACATACATAATCAACAGTGTGAAAAACTAAATATACATAATCAACAATGTGAAAACTAAATATACATAATCAACAATGTGAAAACTAAATATACATAATCAACAATGTGAAAACTAAACATACATAATCAACAATGTGAAAAACTAAATATACATAATCAACAATGTAAAAACTAAATATGCATAATCAACAATGTGAAAACTAAATATAATAGTTTTACAATTATTTTGAAAAATCAGAAGCTCAACACCCTTCCATTACTGTTGATTAACAGATTCAGAAAATTTCTTTCCCTCATAATATGCCCCCCAGTGGCACAGCGGTATGTCTGCAGACTTACAACGCTAAAAACTAGGTTTCGATACTCGTGGTGGGCAGAGCACAGATAGCCCATTGTGTAGTTTTGTACTTAATTACCAACAAACAAACCCTCGTAATATAAAACGATCCGTGTTAAAATGATTTACATTATTCAAACTTAATACCTAAACTCAAATTCAGATGCGAAACTTTATATTTATACGATTGAAATAGTGAAGAAACGGTAACTGATTTCTTATGACATTTTTCAAGTATAACAGTGTTAGCAGCATTTTCAAACAATATATTCTTAACTTTTTTAATCACGAGAATTGTTCCAGAAATGTTTATGTTGAATGTTGGCTACAATGTCATTGGGTGCGTTCGTTCGTTACCAGTTCCGTTAGCTCACATGTCGTTCGTTAATTCTCGTGATGAAACGATACTCGTTCGTTAATTCTCGGATACTTGTTCGATAACAATTGATAACGATAACAATAATACTGCCAGCCAGCCAACCAACTAACAAAACAAATAACAATAACAGAAGTCATACAACCAATAAAGCCAAAAAAAAAAAAGCTCCAGAAGAAGATGGCGTCCAAACTACCTTTCTAAAAAAAAAAAAAAAAGGTACTCA